GTTCTGCAGGAAGACAGATGTATAGCTTCTGAACTTCCCCAAAAGATAGTGTGATTTATTTGGAAATTATTTTACTAATCAAACAAAATTAGTAGGAGGAATTTACTACAGACTTCAAAATTATCTTAAGCAATATCTGAGCAGAAGGACTAGCACAGAGTGAATTTGTGCTCTCTGTGAATTCATGAAAACCTGAAGACAAAAAACGAACTGAGATTACAACATAGATAAAGGGAGTACTTAAACTAGAAAATAATTATTTTAAAGACAGTAACTTTCAAAATCGTGAGAAAATTCAAGAAAAAAAACATCTTATTGTCTCTCATCCTCTGAAATATTTTTCTTAATACAGCAAAGCACAGACCAAACTTCCTACAAGAAAGCACAATAGATATTGTTTGGGTAGTAATCTAATTAAAAGAGACCACATCTTGTCTTACTGATGGTGTATGAACTGTTTGAGAGACTTCTGGGCTAAAGCAGCTTGTGAAGTATGGTTTCCTATCTGTCTCCTCATGACAAGTGCAGGGCAGACTCTTGGACTCTGAGGCTTATAACAAAACCTCTGCACAAATTTTTAAGCAGAGATGGAGATAATCTGAGGGCTTTAAAGATTGTTTAAATATTAGAATAACTTCAAATACAAAGAAAAATCAAGTGTCTAACGATAATACAATAATCCTCAGTGCCAGCATTTCTCAGTGTCCACTGCTGGCTATGTAATTCTTGCCAGGAAACCCCAGCTCTGTGACAGACAGACTAATTCTGCTACTCTTCTGACAGAAGTATAATAATAGCTAGGATGAAATTTGTTTTGACTACAAGTTATGTTACAGCAACTCCCTATATTCTCAAAGCAGTGGATAGCATTTGTGAAAGTATTTAATACCACAGCAAGGTTACAAGTTACACCAGTTTTATTCTTCACTAGAGTATGACAAGGTGAGAATGGATCTTGTAAGCCTCACTGCAGGTGTGAAAAAATGAGATGCCAACAAGATGCATCCTAATAGTATTTCCTTGTAGACTTTGAAGGATTTAGCTCTGTATAAGAAAGAAACATGACTAAAAAGGAACTTTGTGAATTATAACTCTCATATAGTAAAATTAGGATAAATATTTTCAGTTTTCAAAATTGAATGACATATTTTTACCCAACAGACAGTAATTTTACCAACAGAATCTCTAAATTCTTCTCTCAGCATTCAAGCAATTCACCTGATTTCTTGTTGAGAAAGTTATAATAATTCATAATATGAAGTAATAAAAAGGTACATCCACCTTACTCTTTATGATCTACCCTAGCAGAGAGATCACCACCTCCTAGTCAGTACAAAAGAATAAACAATATAGAAAAAAGCACAAGAAGACTAGATCTGCTCCAACATGAGTAACACTCAATGTGGAGCAGAAGACAGTCTCTACTCTGAAGTCACAAGTGGGTCTGTTGTACTGCACATTGTCAGCCTGCTTCTCCTGGGTAATTTAATTCTGTAAAAAAATTATGAATGAAGAACAGTGTTGGATTCTCCTACAAAATCCACAGGCAGCATTGAAACTGTTAGATCTGCTGCACAAATCCCAGCTACTTGAACTGAGTAACTGATGACAAACTTGTTAGTGAGTAAGACTACAATGGCTGGAAATTTTGAAGGATGAAAATCCTCTTTTTTTCAGAGATTTGGGTCAGCAGCAAGAAAATAGCAACACTTGGTAGTTTAGGGGAGCTTGTTCTGGAGACTGATGTTGTTCAACAGCTTCCTCAACAACCTGAACAGAAGCGGACAGACAGAACACACATTCAGGACATTTGCAGGTGACACTAAACTGCAGGAAGCGGGCACAGCAGTTAACACAAATCATGGATGACAGAGCCAACAGAAACTCACAAAGTTCACTAAGATAAAATGCAACTTCTTGCTCCAGCACAAAATTATGATAACGAAGGGTTGGGTAACTGACTATCAACCCTACCCAAACCCTAGCTGGGGTTTATGGCTAGTCTGGTGTTGAACAGCGTGTTCTCACTAGAAACAGCACAGTCCACACGCAGGGCTGGATTAGGAAGAGTATGGCCAGCAGACTAAAGATAGTGATTCACTCCATCTACTTGGCCACAGTTAAGCCTCACCTAGAATATTTTGTCCAGGTCTTGGGTCCATAGCTCAAGGAGGATGTGAAGAAACTGGAAAGGACTAGACTGCATCATCTATGGCAAGAGCTTGAGGGATCTAGGCTCCTTTACCCAGGTGAAGAGGTGGCTAAAGAGCCATCACCTAATCACAGCCTACAACTACCCAAAGAGTAATTATAAAGGCTGATTGTCCTGCTTTGAGCAGGAGGTTGGACTAGATGACCTCCAGCAGTCCCTTCCCAACAACATTTCTATTATGCTAAAGTTACTCCAGGAAGGCCAGAGAAGGGTGGAGGAAAACGAAGCACAACAAAATTAGTATTAAAAACTGATGAGACAAGAATCATAGGTGAATTTAGGACTAGGTCTAAGTACCCTCATCATACAGAAAAGAAACATTAAGTGATAGCACAATGCACAACGTTTGATTATAAAATTAGGAAGGAGAAAGGATATGCTGGAATCACTTTATTTGAAATTAAGGATAGTATTAATTTTTGAGGACTCCTGTTATTTTGTTGCATATCAACAACATAAGAAAGAATCTTGAATAATTTTAATTCCTTGGAAGCAATAGTTAATACAGCATCCCTAGTAAGTTGGAAATGAGCCAGTCTTATTATTAGACAGCTCCTGGAAAACAATGTCCTGTCATCATCGCTTCTACGATTACACAAAACTTTCCTGATCAGTCTAAAGATTAATTTAAACCTAGCCCCTGCAGAGAAATCTTCTAGTACCAAAACAGAGCATAATAGATTTAAAAGAAAAATATTAGTTTCACTTCCAAACTTTTGAAATACATAGAGCCAAACTAAAAGGTGAAAATTTTGATTATTTACAATTACAGCTGTAATTGTAAAGAGAACAGTTGAAGGACTGGTATTCCTTTAAAATAATGCATAACTTCTAAATTTGTCATGGACAGATTCTTAGCATGATAAACTATGCACAACTCAGTAAATAATGGACCTAAGAATTCAACATAAAATTCAGTATTTGAAATTGTTGCCAACTAGATATAGTAATTCAAGAAGCTAATTTTGTAAATCTGTTTTTCCTTTGTATCCTGGACACTGGGTTAGGTTACCTGAACAAATATTGGCTGTAATGAAACATACAATATAAAATAACTGTTTTGATAAGGGAGTCTCACAGGTTTCAAAAACAAACGTTCTAAATACACAGTTCATAAAAAGTGTCCCTTTTTTCTTACACAAAACCATGCATCATCTCTCTAACAGTGTTTTTTAATGTTAATACTATTTTTGTAATTATATAACAACATAGGACTTTTTTTTTGTATTCTTAAACAAAGCTGCCAGATTCTGATTATGATTTGCAGAGTACCTTGTAGTAAATTCAATGACGTGCTACATCCTGTGCATGTCAAATTTTTGATCTCTAGAAAAGCAAATTAGGATACTGAAATTTATATGCCTAAATACAAAACCTGTATGACCAAGTTTTTAATCTGCAGTATTTTACATAAAATCCAAAATATGCTGCCTCCCTCTCTCCATGGGCACTGTGTTCTGAAGCTCAGTGCGTTCGCGCGTTAGCACACACTTTTTAGCATTCTGGGTATAGACAAATCTGTGAACAACATAGATTAGTGGAGGAGACTAGAATAGCTAAAAGGAACAGACTATACTACATATTTATTTTAGTCCATCATTCTAAGGGCTTTCGTAAAGGAAAGGTGAAATGTTAAAACTGGCAGTAGAAGCAGTTACAACTGCCACAATGTCTATTCCTGCTTTCATTACTATTGCCACAGCAGGACCACCCATATCTGTTCATGAGTCACCTTCTTAACTGCTATTTTTTCATGAACCTGCATTGTATAAGATCAGGCATCCAGTTACAATCCCCTTTTCCATGTTCCTCAGAGCCCACAAACATTAAAATAAGCCCACACATGACAAAATATATTTAAAGAAGCTTAAATGCAGGATGTCTCTATCCTCCTCTTTGTAACACTAGTGTTGCCTAGGATATTCTTATTTAGAATAACAAAGTAAAAGTGAGTTGAATAGTTAGTTTGGGTTGTTTTTTTATTTGTGATCTCACTTTGTATTGTCTCTTACACCAAGTTTACAGCAGAATTTTTAGCACCAAAACCAATAAGACTCAGACCCAATTTCAGTGCAAGTAACGTGTCCTTTTATTTACAGGTGTGACTTGTGAAGACATAGTTTTCTAAAGATGGTCATTCTATATTCCTTCTCTTCTAAACTATATTTAACATTTGTTGAAACATACTGATCTTGTAACCAGATGATAATTTCAGTGAAATTATCTTTAAATTCCAGTACTTATAGAATTATTATGGGATGGCAGCAGAACATTCTAATTTACCTGGAAGCTGAAGGTAGACAAATCTGAACTAGTAAGAAGATGAAATTTTTTCAATTGTAGGAATTACTAAGTCCTCGAAAACCTCACTAAAGGCTTTGGTACCATAGATGTAAACATTTTTACACCGGTAAGAATGTGTTTCTAACAAAATGTGTCCTAACTGAACAGTAAATTGCAAATTTGGGACAGCAATTATTAACAAAATTCCAGTGTTTGTGTTACAGAAAAAATCAGACCAGACATTCACTATATTATCACCAGACAAAAAAATATGCATTATAGGAGTCTGATCCAAAACTAATAAAATCCCAGCAGATATAATTGGGCTTTAGGTAAGATTGTAAAGATAAGTTCAAAACCAAATCACGAAATATTCAAAGGCTAGTAAAATGACTCAACAATATGCATTCAATTGTATTTTAACACAGTTATTCGCCTTGTAGATCTATCAATGTGAAGTCAAGAACCAATTTTATCTCAAATTTACTGGTTCTTTCGTACTCACTCATACAAATTCTTCAGTGGTGAAGTTAAAATAGCCAGCACAGAGAGCAGACTATTGCAGTGGCTATGTATTTTACAGATCTTGTGATCTCTGTCTTCATGTGTATTCAGAAACTCCTGTACAGAGCTACAAACTGACCAGAGCATATCTTCAGTGCACATCAAAATTGCTGCAATATCATTTTTTTTGGAAAAAAAAGTGAAAATAACATTAGTTAGGACATAAGGATAGTGGTAGATTTCAATTAACTAGAACTTTCCTCTGACAACATAAAATACCTAAATAAATAGCATGGACTTCAAATTTTGTCTTCCATCAGTGGCACAGGAATTCTGAATCCACTACATTGTAAAAACTCAGCACTTCCACAGGAACGTTGTTACTGAAACTAGTCAAACAAGACTTAAAAAATATTGAAATTTCCTCTTCCAAAGGACAATGCCACTAGACAGGAACAACTGACCTTCTAAACTACAACTAAAGAAAATTAAATTTATTTTCTTTATGAAAAAATATAATTAGAATGTACACACTATTTTCAAATCTTGCTGGAGCCAAAATCGTAATGACAAGTGAACTAAACCTTCAATTTGCAAAACTTTAACTGCCATGCAACATATTATGACCTCTCACATTTCTGAGTTGGTAATCTGTTGCCTGTTGATACTGCCTGGCAGAGCATCATGGGTCACTGGCCTAAACAATAGCAAGAACCCAGACTACAACAGCACAATCTCACAAAACTATGCTGACATACAACATATAGGAAACAGACAGATAACACAAAATACATAGTAGGAATGAAGTTGGACTGAAAAAAGTATCTAGGTACCTAAAAGCCAATGGATGCATATGTGATCATCTGCATTTTTAAGGATCACATTATTTTTGGAAAATCTAGGCCAACACACATGAACTTTGTCTCTGTTACAGATCAGATCTCTAACATTTCAGGAACCATTGGGAGAAGCCCCCCTCCCCCCAAAGTACAGTGCTATTAGAAAAAAAAGTAAAACCCGTGATAAAACTAGATTGAATGATATTAAGAATTGTTTTTTTCATTTGTGCATGACTGGGTAATTCACTTAGTGACGAATTCAAGAATCACCTTATTAAATAAAACAGCTTCTCTACAAAACAGTAATGTAAAAAGTTCTTTCTTGTTCAGTACTTCGAAGTAAATTAATATAGAATTGACTAATACTACTGTATCAATACATATTCTTCACATTTCATGATTGTTTGTTTGTTTGTATTTTTCCCAGGAAGTTTCCAGGAAACCTCTCTGTACTTAGAGATGTAGAAGAGCCTAATCACAGTAAATTAGAGCCGGAATAGAGCATACAAACAGGCATTTTGACACACAGAATAAAACTTTGGTTTTTTTCCCACCTATTCAAAAAATATGAACTTGTCCAAGTTACTTAAGCTTCCACGACACTGCTCCTTTTCATAACAAAACTTATGATGACAGTACATAACTCTTAGATACCACAGAACATCTCTGCTGAGTGTCTCCCATCTCCTACAAATGACAACCTTGTAAGTTTTTAACTTACATGGCCAGCATGGACTTTATCACTTTCTAAATCTGAAAAGAGGAAAATATTCATATAGGAAAGATACATAGCAAAGGGGCAGGATGAGAAATACCTCTATTTCTTCAGTGAAACCAGACATTGTATAGAAAGAGAAAGAACAGAGGTAGGGGAAGCTTCCACCTGGACATACCTGCTTTAGTGTTTCTTAAACAGAGCTTCCTCTCTGGCAAAACATAAGAATCCCCAAAAGAACTTACAGTTTCATATTTACTAAAATGACAGCAGAAGGAATAGCCTCTTCCTCCTCTCTCCCTCTGCACCACTGGCTTCATTCTGCAAATCTTTTGATGTGACCTCGTAGCTCTTTCACTTGAAAAGCCCTAAGAAAACTCAAATTCTATTGGAATGCATGGAGTTTTTTTTTTTTTTTCATTAATCAATGGCTTGATTTCCAATTCTGATGTTGCCAATGCTGCCCACATTTCTGGTTACACCACCACTCCTCAAGGCACTACTCATCATGAGGCTTTCAAACCAACCAAGTAGTTAATGAAATAATTTCATCAAGAATTCAGAAGAGATCTCTGATTCTGCCCAGTTTATTATAAGACTAGAAAATATATTTAAACACACAAAATACACTAAATTAAAATGAACATCAAAATACATAAATTGTGTCTATCCCCTCTGCTGTGTTCACTAACACTTAAATTTTAATCAAAGCAGTGCCTAAAAGAAAACCAAGATTTACTTATTTTATCCATTAAAAGTGTGCATTAAATATACAACCGTTACCTGATTTGTGGTGTTCTCTTGTAACTGGGGCAGGCCAGACAGTATCTGGAGGACAATATAGCCAAGGATTGCTCTAGTACATCTGTAAGAATCTCCTGGGCTATTTTGGGAGGTAGAATAGTCCATAGATCATGACGAAGAGCACAGCAGAAGTAATGCCACATCTGGATAGAGAATGAGCATCTTTCCCCCTAGCAAAAACACCACACATTAAATAATATAAACATACCTTCCAAAACATCCATTTAGTTCCTGTAAGGCTAATTAATTCAATCTGAAAGTAAATAGCTGAAGAGTTTCAAGCACATCATAACCAAAAAATGCTCCTTGACAAGACGTGAAACATCTTTATTAACAAGGAAACACATGTTCCATTTCAGTTATGAAATTAGAGTTCTGCCACAAAAACAAACCACAGCATTTGACCTCTTATATCCTTAATTAACCTATTCTCAAAACCCATAGTGTTATACGTCTATAGTTTAAAAACATACACAGTATTCTGTAGTCACTAGAATACTCAGGTTAATTTAATATAACAGTTTCTTTGTCCTCAACAGAAAATAATAATTTAAATTACTTAAGTATATGTATTTCCCCAGATTCATAAATGCCACACATAATCATGATTATGAAACTTTGGTTATATATAATCGATACACAATAACAGCAGAAAAAACACCCAACTGAATAACTAAACTGATAATAGAAGATGGCCAGAATTTTTTTTTTTTTTTCACCTTGTAACGGTAACTCATTGAAACTAAACATTTTCTGTGAAGGAATCAGTATTAGTATTTCATTGTCTATACAGAACCACCCCAGTAAGACGCAGTGATAAATACACAGGAGTCAAAATCATAGTGATTAATTCATAATGTCTATAGGAAGCACATAGTTCAACTCCCATTTAAATATTTCAACCAGTACCTATCCAGAAAATAGCATTATGATGAACCTGTATCAGAACAAAGACCTGAATCTTCATTCTGCCCATTCAAACGGAGTTGAGAAATATTTTCAGATTTTGTTGATATTTTAGAACTGTTTTGAGTGTATTTCAACAAGAAAACTGAAAACAACCATTCTGGTGTTTTGAACAATCAAGCACTTGACAAGTGTTTCCACAGAGGCAGGAAATCGGATAGCCTCATATTAGTCAAAAATGGATTTAATATAATAATTAAAATAACTTCCCATTTTCCTTATATGAACTAAAATTACAGTGTTATTACATGATACACTGAAACACCATCACAAGGAGGTACAAGTTTACCTCATAACTGAACTCATAACTTCATAACTTTGCATAACTCAAACATTAATACATTTTTGTAAGTCTGGCTTTCTTAGATATACTACCAGATACATTCCAGTAGAACTTATCCAGGAAAAAAACCCCTAACTCTATCCTATAGACCTTTGACCAGTATTTCCCTTTCTTTGCAAAAACATTTCAACTATTATAGAATAAATGTACCAGGTAAAAATAATTAGTTTGAATGTCTAATGGAAGCAAATTTATTTTGGTCATATCTTTAATTTACAGAAATTAATTAAAATTTTTCAAAAAAACATGCAGACATAACAACCAGAAATACAACTCTAAATTGACTTTCTAATGTAGAATACTTATTTTTTTAAGCAACTGAATGTTGGCAAGTTTTACTTTTTAACTATGTAACTATAACCACAAATTGCTTCATTTTCTCTGCTTTATTTAATTTAAAGCAGTAAATTCAATAATACCGCTTTACTAACATTGTACATCCACTGCAGAAGCAACAGTTTTGCTGAAGACTTAAATGAGATTTATTCCCCTTTTCTGACCTGTTTTTCAACTTGTTGCCATTTCTCGACAATTCTACTGGTAAACATCTGCTATTTTTGCAGGCTTTGTATAACACAAGCAGCTGTGAGCTTTTATTTAGCTTACATATCAGGAAACAAGCAGCTGTGCTTTATTACATAAGCCACTCAATATTATCTTTGAATAGACAATTCTTTATTCTTTGACTATTAGAAAACATAAGTTCCCAAAGCTACAGCAGATGTCTGCAACACTAAAAGCTCTGTTTGTAATCTGGAGAGATGGCCCACTGGCACAGTGGGTGTTCAGAGCACTCCACCAGAGAGATCCTGAACCCAGAGAGTTTCCCTCCCTGACAGCTTAGACTCTGAGAGCTGAATGGGAACTGCACTCTTAGAGCTCAGCTCAGATCTCACATTACCACAAATTCACTGTTAGTATCTCAAAAAATCTCTGCTTAGCTTTCCTAAATGATATTAAAAACTTTCTGTGATATCACAGGGATTATAATCGCTGTGTTTACTCTAATCATGAATTGTTTTTTGGCTTTTCTTTTAGTTCCAGTTACCACTATTGGATTAGGTGCATGTCAGAGGTAGGATGGGTAAGCAGGTACTGAAATTGGTTAGAAAAGTCCAAAAATATTTTTAAAATACATTATTCTTATTTTAACAATGTAGAAAATTATTTCATAGAATCCTAGAATCATAGAATGAGTTGAGTTGGAAGGAACCTTAAAGATCATCTAGTTCCACCCCCTGCCATGGGCAGGGACACCCTCCACTAGCCCAGGTTGCTCAAAGCCTCATCCAGCCTGGCCTTGAACACCTCCAGGGATGGGGCATCCACAGCTTCTTTGAATATTCATTATAGAATGTAATAACCATTTGCTACCAATCTTGTTCTCCTTAGAGGTTACCATTGCACAAACAAATAAATGGAAATGGAAACTGCAGCTCTGTGTAATCAAGCACAGACACTGTCCCCTGCCCCTTCTTCATTTCCCTTTGTCTTTCAGTGGTTTTGTCTTCTTTCTGGATGACTTACACATAAAGTAAGTCAAGCAGTTTTATTAGTCAACATGTTATTAGTGGGGAATGCAAAGGAAGGCTCTCACATATTTTTTTTAATACCACTTAAATGTCCTATGTTATGGGGGAAAAAGAAGAGAGTAACTTCATCTGATGCCTCAAGTGCTGGATTGCCATTTAGTTTGTAACTAAGCAAATGAAGAAAGAAAGGTTTCTCCCTCTTCCTTATCACCTACTCATGCACACAAAATCAGAGGACAGGCAATGTTTTGCTTATTTTGTGGGAGTGAAAGGGAATGCATTTTTTTCCTCTCTACAACAACACTTTCTACAGCTAGCTAAAAGGAGGTTGCAGTGAGGTGGGTGCTGGCCTCTTCTCTAAAGTAACAAGTGATAGGACAAGAGGAAATGGCCTCAAGTTGAGCCAGAGGAGGTTTAGGCTAGATATTAGAAAAAATTTCTTCACTGAAAGAGTGATCAGGCATTGGAACAGGCTGCTCAGGGAAGTGGTGGAGTCACCACCCGTGGAGCTGTTCGAGAAACGTGTAGATGTGGTGCTTCAGGACATGGTTTAGCGGGTTAGGTGGTGTGGGCTGACGGTTGGACTTGATGATCCTTGAGGTCTTTTTCCAACCTTAATGATTCTATGATTCTATTCCTTTATAAAATTGCATTTAGGATTTACAGATGAGGATGGAGTCTTTTATAGCTGCATGTAATACTCAAAAACTGAGGGACAAAGCAGAAAGGGTAGTGAGGGTCCTGAAATAAAACAGATTCAAGAGCTAGGTTACTCAAGAGACAAGCAGAAGCAGAGAGCCAAGTGCAGCTTCCCCTTAAAGAAGCAAGACCACGATGCTGTTTACAGCAGTGGATCCCATCAAAAATGCAGCAAGGGCTATGAGCCACTGACTCACGTAAGTACAAGAGTCCCATGGAGAGAGGAGAAGCTCATACCAGAGCCTGATCTTGATGATTGTCAAGATCTTGTGGTGGCTGGCTCCAAGTTACTCTTGTTTTGAGCTCAGCAAGATTTGCACGACACCTCCTGCTGAGCTTAGACCTCAGAAGGAGCCATCTCTCTTCAGCAGGATGTTGCCTCTGTAACAGGAAATAGGTCTTAAGACAATCTCTTCCATTTGGGATGCCTACAAGAGCTCAATGGAAGTAGCAGCTGCTCAGCACTGTGCCTCCTGAAGGCACTCAGAGCAGATTATGCTCCATCCTTGAGTAGTTATTGGGTCACTAATAAGCAGGACACATCAGCATACGGACTACAGACTGTGAAGATCACATCATGATTTATCAGTTGCCAAAAGCCACTAAATTCCTTACCTTCTTATCAACCCACGAGATCTGGGCTTACATCCAAATAAAAGTAAAACGCTTATTTACTTGTCTTTGAGGGCTGGGCATTTTGATAGGTTACTCCTGTTAAGGACTGCATCACCTGTCCAGTACAGATTTTTGTCACTGACTCAGAATACATGTACCACACTGAGTTTTCTCTCATGTAAGTATTCTAGTATTTAGAAAACACCCTAATTCTCTCACACTGGAAATTAAACAAAGAAGGGTGGGACTTTGTCTCCAGGAGATCTCAGTCATTATTGATAAAAAGCACATAATACTTTCAGTTAATCCTGAAATTAAGTCAAAATAATTTCAAACAGTATATGTCATCTTATGTCTGCATTTAATTGGGATGAAGAAAAAAAAACCCAATAAATCATAATAATTCACTTGATCCTTGGGTTTTTTTACACAGAATCATTAGGATTACAGTTTAAAAGCAGACGTGTGACTTCAAAATGCTGGTGAAATGGCACTAGTCATTGCTGAAGGTAACTACATTGACCATCTTTGTTACATCCTTCACTCACAAAAGGTTAAAAGGAGAACCAATTAAAAATAAAAATCAAAGAATAATATTTAAAATTTCCAGGAGAAAAATAGCTGTCTTTCATGTTCATATGTCACACTTTCTACAAGAAGAAGAGTTAAAATGACACTGTCTTCTTTACTGAGTTCTATATAAATATCTTGAACTTGACACATAATATTTTATTAAGCAAATTATACAAACACTCCATGGTAACGATTTATCTCATCTTTAAATGACTGTGTTTTCCTACATCATTTCTACAGTGACGTTTGTCTGCAAGAACAGATATTTCGAAATAGTAAATCCCAATAATCTGTATGTAGAAATAATGCTGACCTTATGCTTCTAATTAGTCAGAGTGCTGGCAACCAGTAAAACACATTTAGTAAAAGGGAGGCACAGTAAACTTAACCTCACACCTCATAAAAAGCTTTGTTGTCATCCCAATGGTGGCTCTCAGCATCCTGTAAAATGCTTGTAGCACAAACTCTGACGCAGTAGTCCGTAACTTGAAATTGGAGAACGCTGATGAATTCCTGATATTGTTGGAGAGGCACTAGGAACAGGGGTCTGTTCAGAGAGAATGATCAAAGAGGCAAAGATTGAAAGGCTGTGCAGTAGGAGGTAACAATCCCCAGTATTGCAAATGGTTTTGATTATTAGGTATCAATCATTCATTTCTTCTCAGTCCCGGAGCCTGAACCTAGGATTCACTTTTGAAAAATATCTGGTCTGTGTTTCCCAAGTTCTTTAAATATATCTGTTCATCTCTAAATCCTTATTTTACCAAGTCATTGAGAAATACATTACTTTTTCCTATTTTCTCGGATAAAAGGACATTTTTCATTCAGTTATTGTGAGATTCTGGGTTGAAGCACAATTGCATCAGCACTGAGTGTGATAAAGAAAACATAAACACAGAATCTAGAGATTATTTTTGTCTAAAACTCTTTCATAATACACATACGTAGAATTATAGAGCAACAATTAGGCTCAGACTTCCCATTCACAAATACCCATTTCATGCAGGAGAGAGTAAAACATCAGAGAGAAAGTAGCTGAATAGTGCATGCAACCCCTTGGAAATCATACATTCCTTGAAACTGGTGCTAGTTCAGGTGTCCTTCCCAAAAGGCCCAGTTTCTACTTTTAAATTATGTATGGCCAGAAACACATGGACCAACAAAGAGATTCCTAGTATCTTAAGTAAAAATGTCCTAAAAGCACAGCAAATGTAGTCATATTGACCCCCAGGTCACACACTGTCTTAGGCTTTACACCTACCACTTCATATTGTCTCTAATTTTTATTTGGCATGCAATGAAAAATAATTTCTAAAACTACATTGGATGTATTTGTTCACATTTCTGTGTAGAGATGGTGTAAGAAAAAAGCAGAAGAACGTATATTTATACTGTTCTCTAAGATTGCCATGTGCTAAATCAGATTTTATGAAAATACAGCTATTGCAAAGGTCAGAAAAGGAAATTAAGGCCTTAGCCCTCTATTTATATGAGAGCAGAGTACATTCAGTTCACTGGACAATCCTATTTACTCAAGCTTAATAAATAAAAAATATTGATCTGCAAATCAAATGCAGATCTTAAACATAAATAATTTGTTCTGTAATGGCTGTTTTATATTATCAATAGCTTTGATTCAGGTCTTTCCATAAATAGTACACACAGTGCATGTGCTAAAAAATATGATGCAATTTGGAAAGCTACCACCATACTGTGTCACCAAAATGGAATGAGGTCCTATATTATTTATGCTTGAATTAAACCATTATAAGTAAAATGGACTCACTTTTTGTTCGTTTCTCTCATTAAATTGCTATACATAGTAAAATGCTGAAAGACATATATCACTGTGGAAAGGGTGGCATAAAAGTCTTGCAGGGGAGCCTTCGATGGAACGTCTTTGCTTTTCTCCTCTAGTCTTGCCAAGACAGCTGTTGCCACTTTGCTGCAGGCCTCTACAAAGTTTGCTCTAATTTCCTGAAGAGAATCATCTCTGCATGCCAGAGCCAATGGAAGCAATGTGTCAAGTTCTTCCATGATGTCAGAACAAAACTGAGAGAAATAAATGTGGCATCAAGTTATTTGTATTCTGACAGCACTGTTTAATTTATACACAGTAGGGTCAGATTCTTGAATAATGAAACTGGCATAAAACATAAATATATTAAATCAGATTTACAAACATTTCATTCTGTTATACAGGGGAGAAACCTTTATCTACAATAAGTGAAAGTTCTTGCTTTAAAGCTGCATAATATATATTGGGGAAAAAAATTAAAACCATCTTATGCTAGTAACGCCTTCATTTTGTTCATGATTTCATTACATGTACATTCAAAACATAAGGTCAATTCCTTGTAAACAAAGATAATTTTCTAAACCAATTTATTCTGAAAAATATAGACACACATTGGTTAATACTGAATTTGAAAACAAACTTGTAATCTCTTAGTAAATTCACACATTGATCTCCCTAAAATTATCTCCCAAAAGCTTACATGTTATTTTAAACAAACATTCATTAACAGAATTTCAAATTTGCTAGAACAGTTGCAAAGCTTACTACATAAAAAAACTTTCAAACACATATTCCCTTAGAAAAATAATTCGATTAATAATTATAAATTACCTTTCAGCCAAATCAAAGAACTCTAATTTGGCCATATTATTGGTTATGCTGATTAGTTAAATGACATGTCTAAGATATGAATTCAGGAAATCCCTTTATAGCTATGCTTCAAAGCTTTCAGCATTTTCCCATCGAACCACTTGGTAACGGAGCAGATACTAATCAGAATGTTTTAGAACTTTTGGATGAAAAAAAATAATGTCAGCAAAGTTTAAAAGTTAATTCTTTCAAGCGTAGACTATGGGCTATTGTACAAAGCTCTGTTCAGCTTCATATTGTAATGCCTCTCACTTTCTTCTTAATTCCATTTATATAAGATCTAGAATATTAATGGTACTGTAAGTACTTCAAAGCGTACATGGCAAACAGCCTTGGCATTCTGTCTTCCCTCAAACTTCAGATCTTTTGATACCTGCCTTAGCAATTCGTTTTGGTTGCTCCTCCTGTTGGACTGCTCCGCAGGACTCCCTCATTTGCTGGTTGTTTACAAGACTCATTGCATAGCCTGCAGCTGAAATCTCTTCTTTCTGCTCATGTTGAAGAATTTTAGCTGAAAAATCCTCAACTGCTATTGTTATACAGTGAGCCACAGCAGAAGACAGGTCTTTAAATGCATTTCTCCAGCCAAAATTCAGTGAAACAGGCTGAAATACATATTTATATTAAGTCAATCCAAATTAATTTTTTAATGTTATTGTTGTCTGAAACTTACATAATCATCCATTATTAAAGGACACCATCATCTTTTGAAATTCATTTTAGTAACTTATATATAGTCTGCTAGCCCTAAAATAATATCAAAAGCAGTATATATGCTCAACAAAAATGAACATGCATAACAATGTTACATTTTTCATCAAATTTTCAAGAAATAAATTTATAAAAACCCCTGTTTAAACACAACTGCTTTTTAAAAGCCATGCTTCCTCTTAACATTATTCATGATCTTTAATAGAATCTATTTAATAAAATCAAATACATTTACAACAATTTTCAACAGTTTAAAAAGTAATCCAGCAATGGATACCCTGCAATAATTTTCACTGTAAGGTAACAAATGGAAGCTATTAACCTTGAATATTATTGGAAAACATTTAGAGAAGCTGGTTTTTAACACAGCCACACTGGATTTCTCTTCTCTACAGCTAGATTTAGCAAAGATTAAAATGTTTAAATGGAGTTTTCTAGTTTAGCAAATGCTGGCTTTTACTATGGTTTACATCAGTTCCCTGCCTTCTGTAAACAGAGACTTCTGAAGTCATCTGAAGCGTAACAGTTGTGAGAAGTAGACACAGTAGGAGAAAAGAGGGATTCCTAAAAAGTTCCAGCTATAATACTAAATTTGAAGACAATAAGGGGCTACGAAATGGAGCCCTTCCAGCTTACTCCTATTTAGAAGTTGCCTCCTTCTTCCTTTCCCCTTCCCCATACCCAAAACTCAACTTTAGTGAGTACAGAGGCAGCCCCCAGAGAGACCCATTTTTGCACTCCATCTATTTTTTTTTTGGTTTTTTTTTGACCTTTGGTCAACTAAAGCTCAGTCTTCTCAAAATATTGTTCTTTGTAATCTAGAAGATACAGGAATGTTAGTCTCACAAACTGATCCAAAGCACATTTCAAAAAGTAATTTCAGCATTCAAATTGAGCCATTAGGAAATTAAATTCTAGTATCACTAAGTATTAGACTTGTTAGAGCACTGAGGTCCCATAAATTCAACAATAGAAATTTGTTTACTAGTAAATGGAGGCCAGACTAAAAATCTTCTACATACATGTACAAAGCACAGTGATTACTACACACTAGTTAGCACCAAAAAAAAATGGACATTGCGTGAATGCTTATCCCTAAATAAAACATCATTATGATCAAATGCTAAGAATATGGTAGGTTTTTTTAAGATTTTACTGTATTTGAGAGCATATTTAGCGCTGAAGAAAGCTATAATATTTCAGCATTTGTTACTGTTTTATTGTAAGGTATCTTATACTTCTGATGTTAAATCTGTTCTTTTATTAAATCTTAAATAACAATCACTTCTCCATTAATGCCATAAGATTCTACTCTACCTTAACTGAGACTTTGCAACTAAAATTAATTGCAGTAGCTAAATAATAAAACTATGGCAATACGTGTTTATAATGAAGATGGTGACAGTCTGCACTGGAGACACAGACAAAAGGAAATCCCCCACAAAGTGTAAGACTTTTCATACTCACCTCTTCTACCTGAAGTAACTGTTCAGGAAGCACACTGGTTTCCTTTGCTCTAGTTTCTCCTATTAAAAGCTCCCCACTAGCTTTCTTCAGAACTCCTGCACAGTATGATAAAAGGGATCAAAGTTAAGATTAATTCTGTAGAAAAGTCAGCAGCCTACAACACCTTCTGATATATCAATATGAAGCATTAAAAAACCCTCAACAAGATGTAGGGGAATACCAACGTTATGATAAAGTCAAACTCAGGTTTTACTCAGATCCTTTCATATAACATGATGAAATCCACATCCCATTGTATTCATATTTTATACAAACACACATATAATGTGTAAAATATATTCTCTTTTGTCATTAATTCATTTTTATACTGATTGTGCAGTCACCTATTCCTAGAGAGAACAGATAATGTTAGAACAGCTGTGTAGAAATTAATTTCTATCCTTTGTTCAATAAATTATATGAATTGCACACTAATGTGTTTTTATAGTTTTTCCTTATTTGGAAACGCCAAAATGATAAGAATAAAAAGACAGTTAACTAGTACAGTTATTATAAGCAAAATGATGGCGACAGGGACAGGGACAGGAACAAGAACAAGTGAAGCTCCATAGAAGGGCTGGTACACAGCTTACTCATAGATCATGGAGTAACAGGAACACTACCCCAGTTTTGACAACGACAAACCAATATCTGGGGTAGATACCACTTTCATCAGTGTTTCAAGCAATTCAGGAGGTTCTGGAGTACACTGATGATAACTTCCTTCTCCAACTGACAGAGGAGCCAACAAGGAGTGGTGCGGTGCTGAATCTTAATACTCACCAAAAAAGAGGGACTTGTTGGGAATGCAAAGGTCAAAGGCAGCCTCGGCTGCAGTGAGCAAGAGATGGTGGAGCTCAGGATCCTGAGGGCAGGGAGGAGGGTGAAAAGCAAGTTCACAACCCTCAGGCAAGCAGACTTTGGCCTCTTCAAAGATCTGCTTAGAAGATTACCCATGGGATAAGGCCCTCAATGGAAGTGAGGCCCAAGAAACCTGGTTAATATTCAAGGACTAAATCCTCCAAGCTCAAGAGAATTGGAAAAAAAAATGTCAGGAGACGTTCATGGATGACTAAGGAACTTCTAGCCAATCTCAAACACAAAGTGAAGCGTACAGAGGGTAGAAGCAAGGACAGGTAACCTGGCAGGAACAAAGTTTGAGCATCCAGGGATGACGTTAGGAAAGGTAAAACCCAAATGCCACTAAATCTGGCCAGGGATGTCAAATACAACAAGAAGGGCTTCTATAAGTACACAGGTGACAAATGGAAGACTAGGGAAAATGTGGACCCATTGCTCAACAAGATGGGGGAGATGGTTACACAGACATGGAAAAGGCTAAGGTACTGAATGCCTTCTTTGCGTCAGTCTTTACTAGCAAGACCAGCCCTCAGGAATCCCAGGTACCAGAGACCCGGGGGTAAGGCTGGGGCAGGGAAGCTGTATCCTTGGTGGAAGAGGATCAGTTCTGGGAATACTTAAGCAAACTGGACATACATAAATCGGTGGGCCCTGATGGGATGCAACCACAAGGGCTAAGGGAGCCGGTAGATATCATTGCAAGACCACTCTGAATAATCTTAGCTCAATCATGGCAACTGGGAGAAGTGTCCAAAGACTGGAGGAAAGCAAATATCACACCTGTCTTCAAGAAGGGCAAGAAGAGGACTCAGGGAATCATAGGCCAGTCAATCTCACCTCAGTCCCCGGAAAGCTGATGGAGCAGCTAATCCTGGAAACCATTTCCAGGCACAATACAGACAAAAAAATTAATCAGGGTTACACAGCATGGCAAGGGGAGGCCACAGAATCATAGAATCAAATAATGGTTTGGGTTGGAAGGGACCTTAAAGACCACCTAGTTCCACCCCCCTGCCACAGGCAGGGACACCTCCCACTAGCCCAGGTTGCTCAAAGCCTCATCCAGTCTGGCCTTGAACACCTCCAGGGATGGGGCATCCACAGCTTCTCTGGGCAACCTGGGCCACTGCCTCAGCACCTGCACAGTGAAAAATTTCTTCCTTATATGTCATCTACATCACCCATCTTTCAGCTTAAGATTGTTACCCCTCATCCTATCCCTACACCCCCTGATCAAGAGTGCCTCCCCATCTCTCCTGTAGCTCGATTTAAGTACTGGAAAAACTGCTAAGGTCTCCCTGGAACCTTCTCTTCTCCAGGCTGAACAACCCCAACTCTCAGCCTGTCCTAGCATGGGAGGTGCTCCAGCCCTTGGACCATCTCCATGGCCTCCTCTAGACTTGCTCCAACAGGTGCAGGTCCCTCCTTTGCTGAGGACCCCAGAGCCGGATGCAGCATTGCAGGGGAGGTCTCATGAGAGTGGAGCAGAGGAGGAGAATCCCCTCCATCAACGTGCTGGTCACCCTGCTGGTGATGCAGCCCAGGACACAGTTCGTTTCTGGGCTGCAAGTGCACATTGCTGGGTCACTTTGAGATTCTCATCAACCAACACCCCAAAGTCCTTCTCCTCAGGGCTGCTCTCAATCCATTCTCTTCCCAGCCTGTATTTGTGCTTGGGATTGCCTTGACCCACGTGCGGGACCTTGCACTTGGCCTTCTTGAACTTCATGAGGTTTGCAAAGGCACACCACTCCAGCCTGTCAAGGTCCCTCTGCATGGTATCCTTTCCTTCCAAGTCATGCTTGACCAACTTGATAAACTTCCATGAAGAAATTATTGACCTGGTAGATGAGGGGAGAGCAGTGGATATTGTCTACCTGGACTTCAGTAAGGCCTTTGACACTGATTCCTATGAGATCCTGTTATGGGACAAGCCATAGACAAGCTCTTGATGTATGGGCTGGACAAGCAGAGAGTCAGGTGGGTTGGAAACTGGCTGAATAGCCAGGCCCAGAGTGTGGTGATCAGTGGCACAAAGTCTAGCTGGAAGCCAGTAACTAGTGATCTATCTCACAGGTCAATACTGGTCCAGTCCTGTTCAACATCTTCATTAATTTTCTGGATGATGGAGCAGAGTGTAGTCTCAGCAAGTCTGCAGATGACACCAAACTGGGAAGAGTAGCTGATATACCGGTGGGTCATGCTGCCATCCAGAGGGACTTCACCAAGATGGAGAAATGTCCAGCACCTGTGGAGAAACAACCCCAGGCACCAATATATGCTGGGGGCCAGCCAGCAGGAAAGCAACTTTGCCAAAAAGGACCTTGGGGTCCAGGTGGACCAGATGACCTTCAAAGGTCCCTTCCAACCTCAGTCATTCCATGATTCTGTGAGTCTGTGTTTCAAAAGAAAAGGAGAAAAAAACGAAACTGTCTGGTATTTTTAAAATCCCTCTCCTAGCATAAAGCTGGTAAACTATACAGGTGCAGATATTCCTAATTTAGTGTATCTCACTTGCAATTAAAATCAAGAAGTTTTAAATGACGGTGTGCTGTCAAGCATTGTTAGATATTATTTTCTAAGCATAACCTTCAATCACCTGAACCTGCTGGTGGTACACACGGCCAAGGCTTAAAGAGTTTTTCTCTTTCAACGAAATACCTCGTTTTTGCACATGCACAGGATTTCATTTACCCAAAGTGTATTTTATCTTTCTCCTAAAAAATTCACCCTCTGAAAATCAGTACTCCACTTTTCATACATCTATACAGCATTTTAAAGCTTCAGGGTTTTTGTGGGGTTTTTTCCTAAGCACTGTTTTCATTTGCATTTTCAAAAGATGTCCAGGAAAAACAGATTTTAGCTGGGAAAATGAAAGAGAAAATGGTAGAATACAAAACCAGAAGAGAGTAACAAGGTCATCCAGCTCCCTTATTATTCAACATATGTGACGGACAGCACTATAACCTTACTGCTTTTTTCAATATGTTTTAGTGTATTTTATGATGATGTTTCCTACTGTTTTCTTTAGAAACTATTCCAGAATTAGGAAAAAAAAAAAAACCCTAACTGATTGGATATTTTCCCTGCTTTCTGTTCTGAGGTTTATACCTTAAATTTGCTTCATTCTTCCTTGCAATTCTCCTTTTGTATAAATATAACACCTGATTCTAACTATAAGCACAACAGAATATCTATATATTCACATTCTCCTAGCTTCTCTACATAGATCAGTGACTTACATTTTTTTTATATCATAACTTTTAGGAAAACCTTTAACATTTAACTTAAAATCCTTGTGTATTTGTGGAATTTCTGCCTTACCAGTTAACAACTCACAGCTGAGATAAACAGGTTTCTAGCTGATGGTAGATTTATGTCGCTAGGACCAGAGGTGAAGAGACAAATGATGCTTCTGCCGACATTAGTAATTTTAAAGGTTCCTTCATTTTTAAATTAACAGGTTCTACTAGATGTCCCCACCTCCTCTACTCACTAACAGCCTGGGCACTCTTGCCCTATATTCATATACTTGTGTCCATGTTCATGCAAGCTCACACACATACAAAAACCTTTTATGGTCTTCCCAAAGAAGCCCCAAGGTCAAGTCTCCTATCTTTACTGAGTTCCTTTGGTTTCACAAATTTTTGCTTTTCCCAAATCTCATCTAGGTAAAGTTGGCCTTAATCTTCTTCAATTTAACCTCCAGCCTGCGAGGGCTCCCTTAATGCTTTCCACTGATCATTGCACACTTTCCAGAGGCCCCCCAAAGCCTCTGCACTTCAGATGCCACCACGACCTTCCTCTCCTTCATTGTTTCCACAGAGAAATATACCAAATTACCCCCTTTCTGTCCCACTACTTCTTCACTTGTCTTCTGGCTGTCTTGCCCTAATAATCAAACTCCCCTGGGAAATATAAGCACAGCTTTATTCAAGAGGCTGGTACAGCTGCTGTAGTGAAGCTGCTCATCCCAAACTAGTTTTTCACCACAGACAGGCAATGAGATGGAGGAAGCATCCCTACCTAGATAGCCATGGTTTTCTACACAAATTATTTGACTCCTCTCTTCTCCCAGATTCCAAACTTCAAACTCCATTTGCACAGACAGAAATGTATGTAATCCTTCTCATATGGTTGCTCCGAGGAGAGAATTTTCAGAAAGAGAGCAGAAAGAAGTGAATGTCATGAAAGATGATGGAGGCTGAAGGAAAACTTCTCAGTTTTTCACACTTGCTCCATTTCCAGAACACATTCTACACCTCCACTGTTCTTGATTATTAGGGAAGTTTGTATTAATCACAAATACTTGCCATATTTTTCTTGAAACTTACATTCTACAAATTTGATAAACTGCTTATACTTTGTGTACTTCCTTCAGGTTACCAGACAGGCAGCTTGAATAATTTTGGTAGTAAATATTCAAAACAAGATTATATCAAGTGCTTTACTTAAAATCAAAACTCTTCAACCAACTTTCCTTATGGGTATTAAAATTTGTCTGGGATTATCCTTGTCTTCAAAGCAAATCTTTTTGCCTATGTCTCCTTCGTTTTCAATGTATTTAGTTCTTTCTCCAATTCAGTATTTTTCTGGTTTTGTAATGCTGATTACAGTGAGACCTGTTGCATTTGTAATATAATTCTTTTTTTTCCTTATAAGAAGTTCTATTAAATTATTTTTTCTACAGAAACTCACAACTTTCCTGTTTTTTCATAGCATTTAGGGTCATAAGAACAGTCATTGTGACATCATCTTGCATGGAGCATAGAACAGTGAAGCATCAAGGAAACCTTTTTTATGACAGCTCACTAACTGTGAATAAGCTAAATACAGTGCCATCAAAGTGGTTTATGAGTTGGATTCAGCTGGCTCAGCCACAACTTTTATTGAAACTGTACTGGAAATAATTTGTCTTGCAGAAATGGGAAATACCAGTCCCCCATAAATATAAATAAGCAGAAGGAACAAAAATATTTGACTAGCTGTAGATTAAAAACCCTCCAGCATTCTATTTGCAATAATTGACTTATTATTTGTTGTACTATACTGAACAAACTGTAGTAACACAAATACAGAAAATTTACATCTGAAATCAAATTCCTTACTAGTGTAAATTTCATCTTCACTTTGGATTGATCTACTGGAGCTACATATTTCTTAAAAAAGCTACTTGAACATCTTGCTTTGAGACTGTCTTGGGTTAAGCTGAGACAGAGTTAACTTTCTTCATAATAGCTAGCAAGAAGCTGTGTTTTGGATTTGTGCTCAGAAGAAAGCTGATAAAAGGTGATGTTTATGCCGCTGCCAAGGTCGTTCAGCTTCTCTGGCTGTCCGCATACTGGAGAAGCTGGGAGGGAGCACAGCCCAGGATTTGATCTTAGGTTCAGGACTGAGACCCAAAGTGGCCAATAATCTATTCCATAACATACACATCATGCCCAGTATATAGGTGAGGACCCTCCGGAAGATCGTCCCTTTTTGGTTCTGAATCTCTTTTGCTCCGGGTCATCTCACTAAAGGTGGTCACCCTCCCAAGGCCTTCCCCACCCCACCCCGCTCAGCTCTCAGTCTGGGATGCTTGGACTGTTATCTTTGTTCCAGGAGTGCGGTTTCAGGACTCTCCCTGCTTTGGGATCATTAGCCGGGAACAGGCTGAGCCTTGGTCATGGGGTGAGGGGGGGCAGTATCACTGTGTATCACTCATTTGTATATTTGTATATAGTATTATTTTCAATATTATTCTAGTTTAGTTATTAAATAATTCTTATCTCAACCCACAATTCTTTTTTTCCCTTTACCCCTTTAATTCTCTCCCCTATCCTTGGCTGGGGAGGGGGGGGGAATTGTGTGAGTGGGTGTGTGGTTTGGCCCCCAGCCAAGGGCAAACCCATCACAGAGACCAAAGCAAAAATCACACCTTTCTTTCTTGAACCTTTACAACTTCAAAGTCTATTAAGAGAATGCACCTCATAAATTTGATTCCACACTCCTTTTATTACACTTTCCAGAAATTATACGAAGGATTTCTTCTTATGCTGTGAAGGAAAGACCTTCGCAAGTCTTCCCAGTCCCCTGAGGCAAAGCTTGTAAACCTAAGGGCTGCACAACTTTGCCCACAGTGATTTTAAAGAGCTCCACTGGAAAAAGCTTTTCTTGGTAGTCACTATATGATGTGTCCAAAGTTCACCTTTCTCACTGGAATGGGGAAAAAAAAAGTGAGAGACAGATGAAAGTATGTTAGATGTTTTTGATTTTTTAGAAGTCTCAACAAGAGGCTTCTGAAAAGTCAGAGGGAAGAGGAATCTTCCTTGAAGATGGGTAGAGAATGCAACTGGGCAGGATTCTAAACCAAAAATCTCCTGCTTAACCCTTGACTGCAGCTGAATGTTCCAGATTCCTTCAAAGAGAACAACCTCTGCGATGCTGCATGTACTAGGTACGTCAGAACATCTCAGGAATTTCAGCTGAATGTAAATGGAGAAGTAGACTATCTCCTCACAGTAGGCATGACAAGATAACTGCAGAAGAAAGGGTTAAATGCCTGGTCAAGAAAAAATACAAGGTGGTTACTCCTTTAATTTTCTGAAACCTTGTAGTGGAACGAAGAGAGGTTATGCAACACTGAGAATAAATGCTCCGTAAATGCTAGAAAAATATGGATACCTTTCCTCAGAAGGGCAGAGTAGCAGTCTTGTCCAGATGCCACACTAAGTTTTCAGGGGTGAAACAAAACCACATCATCACCTTTGTTTGAAAACTTTTCATTATTTTCTCCTTTAATTTGATTTAAGAGAAAACTTGAATACTAGACTAGTAGTAGATAAAATGTGTATTTACATTACTTTGTGTTTAATTGTGCTTAAAGAATGCAAATGTAATTTGTAATCAAGAGCAATACTTTGCATGTACATAATACTCATTGACGAATACAGGCTAAGACAGGTCTGGCAAAGGAAAGTCAAAAAATCAGGAACAACTGGATGGAGAACAGTGAAAAGAAGTGAGTAGAAAATGTAATTCATAGAATTTTTTTTCTATCTGTGCAAAAGAATTTGGGAAAATGTGGATTCTGAATATATTTCAGAAGATGCTGGATATAGAACTCTCAAACTGAACTCAGAGAACTACCCATATCACCTAAAAAAACTCTCTACATCCATCTCCCCACAGAGTTGACTCTGGTTCACTGTTTCCTCTGG